CTAATTTTTATTGTCAGTTTTGTTAAGTTACATTTTTGTAGGAATTTGCCTATTTCCTCTAGATTTTCAATATTATTGGCATGAATTGTTAGTACTGTTCCCTGATCTTTCAAATCTTTAAGTTCCCCCCTTTTTTCATATTACTTCTATATATCTTTTTTAAATATTGATGAGTCAGCCAAACATTTGTTGATTTTGTTTAAAGATTTTGTTATTTTTTAAAAGTAATCTCTACACCCAACATGGGGCTTGAACTCACAACCCTGAGATCAAGAGTCACATGCTCCACCGACTGAGCCAGCCAGGCACCTTGTATTTTATTAGTTTTATAAAAGAAACAAATGTAGGGTTTTGTTGATCTTCTTTAATGTAGCTTTGTTTCCTATTTCATGAATTGATGCTTTTACTTTTAATACCTCCTTTTTCCCTAATGTTCTTACTATATTCTTAGCTTGAATACTAAACTAATTTTCACACTCTTTTCTCTTCTAATAGAAGTATTTAAGGCTATAAATTTCCCTTGAAACATGCTTTCACCACGTCTCACACGTTTTTAATGTGTTTTCATTATCATTATATTTTAAGATGTACCTCATGATTTCTTATTTGATATACAGAAGGAACTGTGATGCACTTTTGACAGGAAAACTAGCTGGTGCAGCAATAGTGGAAAACAGTATAAATGCTCCTCAAAAAATTAAAAATAGAATTACCACATAATGCAGTAATTCCACTACTGGATATTTACCCAAATAAAATGAGAACACCAATTCAAAAAGATATGTGCACTCCTGTTTATCACAGCATTATTTGCAATAGCTAAGATATGGAAGCAACACAAGTGTCCATCCATACTTGAATGGACAAAGAAAATATGGTATATATATACAACAGAATATTATTCAGCCATTAAAAAGAATGAAATCTTGCCATTTGCAACATGGATGGAGCTAGAGAGTATAATGCTAAATGAAATAAGCCAATCAGAGAAAGACAAATACCATATTTAGAAATGTGCTTTAAACTATGAAATATATGTAAATGATTTATTTACCTTTTTTGTTAATATAGAACTTAATTGCAGTGTGGGAAGACAACATGAATCTTATAATGCCAATATCAATGCCAATTATTAGTGAATAATTTTTGTCTGATCTAATGCAGAATCAATTCTTCTAACTATTGTAAATGTGCTTCAGATCAATTATTTCTGTAATTCTTCAAAGCAGAGTGCATATGTTTCCATTTGGTGAGGCTTGTGAGTTGGGTTGTTTAAATCTTTGTATGCTGTTGATTTGTAGATATGATTTCTCAATAATAGAAAGGGTGTTGAATTTCACTCACTTGGAATTTTTCAATTTCTCCATGGACTTCTATTACTATTTTGTATATTTTGAGGCTATTTTTAAGTGTATGTGTAATGTTATGTAACATTTTCATGGAAGCAGCATCCCATCAACTTTGCCATGCCCTATTGGTTAGAAGCAAGACAGATCTTGCCCACAGTTAAGGGGAGATTACACAGTGTAAGGATCATGACAGATCTTTTAGATCTACCAGTTTTTAAAAATGTTTCTTATTTAGAGAGAGAGCACAAGTGGGTGGGAGGAGCAGAAAGACAGAAAGCGAGAGAATCCCAAGCAGGCTCCACAATGTCAGTGTGCAGTCCAATATGGGGCTCGATCTCACAAACTGAGATCATGACCTGAGCCAAAATCAAGAGTCAGATGCTCAAATGACTGAGTCACCCAGGCGCCCCTACATCTACCTTTAGAATCATACTTTTACAATAAATATTTATTATTAAAAAAAACACTCCTTGAAGCCTGGGTAGTGGTCGATTCGCGTCGACTTCCAAGCAGGCGATCTTCATGATCCGTGGGATTGACCTTGTCAGGAGCTCTAGGCTGATGGCTCAGAGCCTGGAGCCTGTTTCCGATTCTGTGTCTCCCTCTCTCTCTGCCCCTCCCCCGTTCATGCTCTGTCTCTTTCTGTCCCAAAAATAAATAAACGTTGAAAAAAAAAAAAAAAAAAAACCTCCTGGATAATATAAGTGGTTTAGAATGCTTCAGCTCCATTTATGCCCATTACTACTTATATTGTCATATATTTGACAACGTGGGACTCATTAAATTAAAAACTGTTGCTCTGAAAAAGGCATTGTTAATGGTAAAACAAGCCACAAACTCAGAAAACCCATTTCCAAATAACATATCTGGCAAAGGACTTGTATCAAGAATATGAAGATTTCACTCACATGTGGAAATTAAGAAACAAAACAAAGGAGAAAATAACAGAGGAAGACAAAGCAAGAAACAGACTCTTAATTATGGAGGACAATATGATGTTTATGAGGGGTGGAGGGATGGGTGAAACGGGTGATGGAGATTAAGAAGGGCACTTGAGAAGAGCACTGGGCATTGTATGGAAGTGTTGAATCACTACACTGCATACCTGAAATTAATAGAACACTGTATGTTAACTGGAATTAAAATAAAAAATTTAAAAAAGTATATATATGGAAATCTAAACACGTAAAAGAAAAGGAACAAACCAGTAAAGGTCAGGGGGCAAAAGATTTGAACAGACACTTCACCAAAGATAGCAAATAAGCGTATGAAGACATGCTCAACTTCATTATGCCATTACGGAATTGCAAATTAAAACTATAGTGAGATAACACTATATTCCTAGTAGAACGGCTAAACATTTAAAAAATATATACGGGCACCTGGGTGGCTCAGTTGGTTGAGTGTCCAACTCTTGATTTTGGCTCGGGTCATGATCCCAGAGTTGTAGGATCGAGTCCTGGTTCAGGCTCTGTGCTGGGCATGGAGCCTCCTTGGGATTCTCTCTCTCTCTCTCTCTCTCTCTCTCTCTCTCTCTCTCTCTTCCCTCCTCTGCCCCTCTCCACAGCTCATGCTCTCTAAAATAAAATAAATAAAACATAAATAATAATGCAAAATTCTGGGGAAGATGTGGAACGACTGGAACTCCTATATTTGTGGTGGGAATGCAAAATGATACAGAAAGTTTGGAAAAGTTTGGTACTCATTCCCACTCCTAGGCATTTACTCTATATACCCTATAGAGATGGAACATTTATGTTCACACAAAACCAGTACCTGAATGTTTATAGCAACTTTATTCATAATCACCCAAAGTGGAAACGTCTCACATGTCCATCAATTAGTGAATGGATAAAAAACTGTGGTACATTCATACAATGGTGTACAACAATAAAAAGGGATAAACTAATGATTCTCATAAAATTTTATTTATTTATTATTTATTTGAGAGAGTGTGCATGCACATACACACGGGGGAGGGACAGAGAGTGGGAGAGAAATTTCCAAGCAGGCTCAGCACTGTCAGCACGGAGCCCAATGCAGGGCTCAAACCCACAAACTGTGAGATCATGACCTGAGCCAAAACCAAGAGCTGGGAGCCACCAGGCACCCCACACGGATGAATCTTAAATGCACTTTACTAAATGAAAGAAACCAGACCAAAATATCTATATATTGCATAATTCCAATCATACAACCTCTGGAAAAGGCAAAAACCAAAGAGATGGACAACAAATCAGTGGTTTTTGGAGACTGGGAATGGGGAAAGAGGTTTACAACAAAAAGGACAATTGAGCGGGCTCCGCGCTGACAGTGAGGACCCTGCTTGGGATTCTTGCTCTCCTCTGAGTGTGTGTGCACACTCTCTCTCAAAATAAATAAACTTTTTTTAAAAAGAACAATTGAGAGAAATTATTAGTGATAAAATTGTTTGGAATGGTACTAGAGTAGTATGCCTGACTATATTTGTCAAAACCCACCCAACTATAAATCATGAGGGAATTTTACTGTATATAAATTACAAATAAAAAGCTCTAATAGAAAAGATGTATACTTTTGCCTGTCAAATGAGCAGGGATTTATAAAGACAGAATGGCCATATTTTGATGAATGTATGGAGAAATATGAACATTTATACACCACTGATGGAAATGTAATTTGTACAACTATATTGAAGACAATGCAACAATACCTTTCAGATGCCTTAATAATACTCTCATTCAAACTCAGTGAGTCCAATTCTGGAAATTTATTGCAAAGAAATAATTAGAAATGCACATAATAATTAACATACAATGATGTTTATTACATTTTATAGGCAAAATTGGTAATATCCAACATGTCCAGTAGCATGTGATTTTTTTACATAAATTCTGTTAGATTCATATGAAACATTATGTAACACCTAATACTGTGTTTTAGAGGTTAGAGTGGAGGAGAGCCAAAGCGTAAGAGACTCTTAAAAACTGAGAACAAACTGAAGGTTGATGGGGGGTGGGAGGGAGGGGAGGGTGGGTGATGGGTATTGAGGAGGGCACCTTTTGGGATGAGCACTGGGTGTTGTATGGAAACCAATTTGACAATAAACGTCATATATTGAAAAAAAAATAAACACAACAGCCCTGTAAAAAAAAAAAATACTGTGTTTTCAAAGAATGCCAATGATGTAGAAATATGTTTATTTTCAAATGAAAAAAGTTAGAGAACAACATATACAATATGTCAATTTTGTTTTTAAGTCACACTCCTGAAACTAATAGAGTGCTGTATGTTAACTAACTGGAATTAAAAAAAAAAAAAACTTTAAAAATTGTGTTCCACACATTCTTTTTTACAAGAACAAAGGGAAACACTCAAATGTTGAGTTGTTTTCTTGGTTATAATATTATAGGTGTTCTTTACTTTTTAATTTATACCTTTCATTTCATTTTTCAACAATGATCATGTTACTTTTATGGTCAAGAAAAAAAAGTATTTTTTTTTTAAATTTTTTTTTTCAACGTTTATTTATTTTTGGGACAGAAAGAGACAGAGCATGAACGGGGGAGGGGCAGAGAGAGAGGGAGACACAGAATCGGAAACAGGCTCCAGGCTCTGAGCCATCAGCCCAGAGCCCGACGCAGGGCTCGAACTCACGGACCGCGAGATTGTGACCTGACTGAAGTCGGACGCTTAACCGACTGCGCCACCCAGGCGCCCCAAGAAAAAAAGTATTTTTAAAATTTTGAACAAACAAACAAGCCCAGCCCAATCCAGCCAAGTCCGTGATCTCTTCTGTTGCTATCTTCACTTAGAAGACCACACTGTTGTCCCCTGGAGGCTTGTTGCCCTCTTTGCTTCTTCAAGCACTGGACTTGTATTGCAGCTGAACACCTGTCAAAGCAAGAGAGTGGCAGGATCTCTCCAAGAGCACGATACTTCTATGTTAATACTGGCCTATGCAGCCACAGGCTGATACTAGTGTCAACTTCCATGATCTAGGTAGGGAACAGAAGTCTTTATTTTTTTTTTTATATGAAATTTATTGTCAAATTGGTTTCCATACAATACCCAGTGTTCATCCCAACAGGTGCCCTCCTCAATGCCCATCACCCACTTTCCTCTCCCTCCCACCGCCCCCCCCCCCATCAACCCTCAGTTTATTCTGTTTTTAAGAGTCTCTTATGGTTTGGCTCCCTCCTTTTTTTTTCCTCCCCTCCCCCATGGTCTTCTGTTAAGTTTCTCCATATCCACATAAGAGTGAAAACATATGGTATCTGTCTTTCTCTGTATGACTTACTTCACTTAACATAACACTCTTCAGTTCCACCCACGTTGCTACAAAAGGCCATTATTTCATTCTTTCTCATTGCCAGGTAGTATTCCATTGTGTATATAAACCACAATCTCTTTCTCCATTCATCAGCTGATGGACATTTAGGCTCTTTCCATAATTTGGCTATTTGGAACAGAAGTCTTTAAAAGCTATAATGCCCATATTACATAACAGGAAGCTCCCCATCTTTTAAATCTGTTCTCTGAAAGAATCTTTTAGAACTTTTCTCCAAAGCAGCTCTCCTTGTTCTTTTAGATAATCTATCACGCTCTGGGGAATGACAAATCAATAGGTCTAAGGGCTAACCTTTCATTATATTGTTTCCTAATGCCTTACCAGGGGTTTGGAGTTGCCTAGAATCATTGTGCCCTCTGCCTCTACCTCACCCATCCAATAAGAAAAACTAGGCTATCTGGTACTACTTGTGCTATTTCCTCTGTCCTCGACCTCTTTAAAACTCTGTCATCGAACCAGAGAGTTCTAAGTCGCAAACCTTGTTCTGGGTTGTTTCTCATTAGGGGTTAACAGAAACCTCCACAAAGGCAGCTCTACCTGAGGACAGTGCCTGGCAGTGACTTCACACAAACAGCAAAAGAAATAGTGCAGTGCAACAATTCTTCTCCAATCCACCTTAATAAGTTACTGGTTTATGAAGCAGGTCTCAGCACTCCCTCCACTGAAGTGAAGGACTGTATGACCTCCCTCACTTTTCTCCCCTCTCTTCTTCCATTACTAACAGCAGTAAGGAGTTCACTCCTATCTTCACTCACAAACATCAGAATCTCAGGTTTGCTTCCTTCATTCATGTAGGCTTCTAGGTTCAATATCCACTAAAATGTCAAATTTTTGTTACTCCATGATGGCATTTCATAGCCTCCTTCTTTCTCCTTATATCCATAGAAAAACATGGGTGTCATTGTAAACACTCACTGAAGTTTCATTCACTCATTCACAAGGCTCCTTCCAGATGAAAGGCTGTTACAGATGGCCTGAGGAAGGGAAAAGAAAAAACACCTGCTGAAATCCATCAGGATGGGGCAGGAAATAAAAGGTGGTTAGTGAGAGCAAGGAACACACTAGGAAAGCTTTGAAGAGGCGAGACCCAGGATTAGGCACCAGATGGTGTGACCAAGGGTGTCCTGAGGAATCACTGGGAATATATTTGAAAGGCACAAGAATTACCACTTATCCTTATGCCCTATCCTGCCCATCCCCAAGAGAGATAAAAGGTAACCAGGACTCCTGGTACTGTTTATGAGATATCTGTCCTTATGTAACATAGGCCCTAAGACAAGTCCTGATCTCTGATGACCAACTCAGAAGGGGGCTGGGGTGGGGCAAGCCCTCCTACTGGTTTTTCACAATCAGTTGAGACATCAGGAGTGAGTCTTGGGGCTGGGGTCCATACGGTTGCTGGCCTTTGGTACAGCTTCTCCAGTGGCTGCCATGATTATCAGGTGGAAGTGGGTATCAGGCTGATTAACATTAGTATTCCCCAACTGCAGGAGGTAGGTGTGACAAGTTCAACCCCAACTCTAGCATTCATGACTCTCTGGGTCTTAAGAGATGGGAAGAAGGAAGTGCTGATAAAGAGACAGTGACTCCTAAAGGCATATATGTAGGCCAGAAAAGTGCCAGCGGAAGGGGAAAGTATGGCTTTGTTTGCTTTCATCAGTGGTATCTTAGTCAAGGGGCTGAAGGAAAAAGAAATAATAAGAATGCAGGGACAGGGGTTACTTTCAAGTCAACTGACTGCCTTCCTTCCAGGAAGCTGGGGTCCTTTGTTTCCGAAACCCAAACTCATCTCTGGTGGCCTGTATTACAGCAGTGGAGATCCAGCAATTTGTGACTATTGGAAACCTAACAGAACAAGCATTATACCTTATTTTAGGGATTTTTTTTTTTTTTGCTGTGAACACAGGGTAGTCTTTATGGGAAATGATAGTTCATACATGCACATACAGTACAATTTCTGAATGTAGGAAGTAGCTGAGAGGGCCAAACGTGCAATTGAAAAGAGCAACCTGTGGTCTGGAGTCTCAAGAGAGTAAGCCCTCTGTTGAGTCGTGCTTTGTGAAGCTGATATGAAGACATGCTGTAGTGATTCTCTGCTTCTTTCTTTTTCTTCTTCCTCACACGAAGTCTTCTACCAGATCCTCCTGAGGAATAAATATAAAGCGGCCCCAAAGGAGGGGATGCACCGTCTAAGGGCCTGGGAACTCTGTCTCAAGGGCTCTACCCCTTCATTGAAATATTGACTCATTCAAAGACTATAACAGAGGAAAAATGATGACATGCAGTGTCACAGGATTCATGGAGATTCTCTTCTCCTAAACTTTACATTCCAAGTCCTAAGGGACATCTCTCTGCATCAATTTCCAGCCCTTCTTCCCAACAACACAGGGAATATGTACAATATGGCCACTAAACTAGATGTATCCTGACCTTAGAGTGGCTGTCACAAAGTGCTGTTGTTACACACTGATGGGAGCTTTCTTTTGTCTATCCTTTATCTTAAAAGCTCAATTATGTAACAGGGCCCCCTTGTTCTAGTTAATTAATCTGTGTTTTTAATGTGCTGTGCCTGTTGTTTTTTAAAGGACAGTTCTCCAGGCTCTGGGCTGATGGCTCAGAGCCTGGAGCCTGTTTCCGGTTCTGTGTCTCCCTCTCTCTCTGCCCCTCCGCCGTTCATGCTCTGTGTCTCTCTGTCCCAAAAATAAATAAACGTTGAAAAAAAAAAATTTTAAAGGACAGTTCTAGCATACTCCTCAAGTCAGAGACTCAGAAGTCAAAGTACATTATGGAACAGCCAACACAAACTTGTACCACGTGGATAAAGTTAGGTCAAGGTCAAGGAAAAATTTGGGTCCAAAAGAAATCTTTTGATGCCACTTCAAGCTGACCAGTCTGTAGACACGGCCACAGCATTCTGTCAATTCAAAGGGCCAGCAGCTCCCCTAGCTGTCCTTGCTCGGGAATGCTGCTTATTTTCTCATACCTGATATGTGACAGACCCAGACGGGGTAAATGGTTAGCACACAGCAAGGTGCTGGGTATAGAGCAAGCACCCGATAGAGGAGGGGATCACTTTAGCTAGGCATTCTGCAAGCCAACACCTCGGAGCAATGTGCAGATCATGGTTTTGGTAACTTCTAATGATCCCTACCGCTCCTCCGTGGCTCATACAACTATCCCACTACATCGTTTCTTCTCTTACACCTGCACAGTTGCCATGTGCCAACCTCTAAATCACTCCTCAGGCATCAAGGCCTGTTACACCTGGCCTCCAGAGTTCATTCCCAGCTTGGCTTTTGCTATAGTCCGGGGTTACTTCAGTATTTATGTAACTGACCATCTGACAACCTCACTTCACAAGTTACCTTGACCACTCTGGTTTTGCAATCTTAATGTTTCAAAATCCACTCTCTGATTACAGGTTCTATTATTCCAATTTCCAACTACCCAACACCCATCTTGATCACACTAGGGCCTTTTCTCATTCACAGACTTTCAGCTCACTTCTGATCTAACTTCCTTCCACATATAGTCTGGAGTTTCAAATTCATTTCTGTGTAGCCCCTCTCTTGCTAGCTGTCCATCCCTCAACCAATAAAGGTCAGTCCCAGGCAATCAAGTTACTTGTGACGGGTGGCCTAAGACCACTTTAAAGTTTCTCAAGTTTCTGGTTTCTTACTTTAATTTAGTATATAATTTCATATAATAGTATCTCACTTTAATAGACCGAAAGGCCCCACTCTAGCCTTTTGGCCCAAATATCCCTTGGACTCTGGTTTGTCCCATAATCCTGTCCCTGGATTTGTCCCCATAATCCTGTTCCTGGATTATTTGTCCCCATAATCCTGTCCCATAATCCCTGTCCCATAATCCTGTCAGCTTCCTCTCCATCATCCACATCAACAATTACAAATCTTCAACACCCTTGTCACATGTTTCTCCTAACTCCTATCCCTATGCTCCAGCGAGGAGGTAATTCCTTTCATCTGAGGTACTCTCTCTCCCCCTATTTTAGAGTCATAGGTTTCACCCTCCCTTCTGCCATCATTTTTCAGGAACTTATTCCATCTGTTAGTGTCTTTCTTTCCCCCATCAACAATGACTTCCTTCTCTGTTCTTCCTGCCCCAAAGTCTGCAAGCATACTCCATTTTCTCCCACATTAAAGGGCAGCTTATACGACTCACTGTAGCGCCCTGACGGAATCATTTAACTTGTACTCTATTTGTCACATCTTCTACCAGAAAGAAGGCTTCTCATGGAACAAGAGTCATTAATCAGACTAAAGAAGGAAAAGGAAATAGGAGCCTGTTGAGTGGTGAATGGAAAGTGGAGGCCTACCTGTCACTGTAGGTAAGGGGATAGCTGAGGTAAAGTTGAAAGGGGAAACTGTGAATACCAGCCACAGGAGCAACCCCCAGACTGTGAGGATGAAGTTTCTGATCAATGATCACTTTGGTCCTACCCAAGGAGCAATCAGCAGCAACTGTAGTAGTAGTAGCAGCAGCAGCAGCAGCAGGCATGCAACATCTGCAAGTAGCCAAGACTAAAATACAGGCATGGAAACAGAATATTTCACGGAAAACATATTAAATATGATATATATGTGTCACTTAGGCTGCTATTCCCCCTTCTCCCACCTTCAGTAAACATAGCTAATTAGTTATAACTCTCTTTCACACTGAACTGAGTGAGACCTGGCTTCAGCATCCTTTTTGTGAAACATAATCGAGGCAGGTACTATTGACCGATTGGAGATGGTACTTGAGATGAAGTATATCTGCTATCTTTGTACTACACAGAAAAGTCCTCAGCAAAAGAGTGAGAAGATAGGAGTAAGCTCCAGGAGAAAGCATATTGAAGACAGCTTGGACGTTGTAGGCAACTGGCGGGGAAAAGCTGAGCCCATGGAGATCACAGAGCAGGCGCCCAATTAATGTCTGTTGATGATTCATTTTTTCATTCAACAAACATTTAATGAGGCCTACAATGTGCACGGGATTAGGCACCGAATACAAAGATGAACAAGGCACTGTCCTTGCCTGTAAGGAATTTAGAGTCTGGTAGACGAGAGCCATAGACACGGACAATGATAATACAACCTGATAAGTGCGAGGACACTTAGCAGGTTGTATTATATCCATCCGAGTAGGATTTCTTCAGAAGAGCACAACTCCAGGTTGAGGTTGGATCCATGCAGTCCTCCCAGCCACCAGGGCCCGCTGTTGTTTCTGTCACGTGGTGAGTATCCCAAGAACTAACAATGACAGCTATGACTTAGTGCTTATGACATACACTTCACAAATATCCTCAGAGAAACCCTGCAAATTAATTATTATATTCGATGAAAAAACTGAGGTTCAGTAAGGTTAAGTAACATGTCTTAGATCACACAGCTAGTAAGCAGTTGAGTCAGGTTTCAAGTCCAGTTTTGACCAACTCCAAAGCATTTTTCTACATTTTTAGGATAACCTTTATTCAGGTGTAACACAACTTTTCAACAGGTTTCTATTTGGAAATAAGAGCAAAGGCAATAGATTAGTGATCAGGGCATGGACAAAATTCATCTGGTTTCCCAACCTATTTGGCAGAGAAGAAAAAGAAGGTAGAGAGTTGACTTCATACTAACATACCATTGAAAACCTTCAGGCCAGTTAGTTTCCCTTTCTTTCTCACACCCGAAGAACCTCATTGACAATGTAAAACATAAGCACCTCTGGTTAACTATCTTCTTTTAATCCCAGACATGGTCAACATCATTATTAGTGGCAACGACAGTTGATAATAGCATTTGGCACATTCCAGACTTGTTCTAAGAAATGTACAATAATCCCATTAAATCCTTACATCTACCCCCATCCCCATCCAAATCATCACAGAAAAGGCCATTACCCCCATTTTACATGCAGAAAAGACCATTACCCCTATTTTACATAAGAGAAAGGCAAGTCCCAGAGAGGTGAAAAACCATGCTCAATACCACACTGGTGAGTTTAAGAGCAGATTTGAGCCTAGGATATTTAGTCCCAAGGCCCAGACTCTTACGTACTGCTTTGCCATCCTACTCAAGAGCTTCCTCTCCCAATCCTTCTTCCCCCTACTGCCCTCTAGGATGGCTACTTACATAAGGTCCACTGAAAATACATAAGGTCTACTTAAATATAATCTCCTATTAATCATTCTAGTCACAGAAATCCATTCTCTGAATCCCTAAGGTCACTACTCTGAGCCTTAGGTGGAGAACTGTCCACAGAACATTTTTATATTGCTTTGAGAAAACAGGAAATGAATACTGAATATGTTTAGATTTTTGATTACTGGATATATTTTACTTGGAGATGTAACCACAAACGTTGTAAAATCCCTAAGCTGAGTCCATGGAGATTACAGAGCAGGTGTCCAATTAATGTCTGTTGATGATTCATTTTTTTCATTCAACAAACAATAAAACAACTGAGACAGTCACAACTAGGGCCATTTCTCCCCTGAGTGGGTTTTAGAGGGAAAAGCTTCCTCTCTGACTTTGGGAGACAATGTGATGGTGAGGGAAACCTACTACTGATGAGAAGGGCAAGGAACCAAGTAATACTATTAGAGGTCTACAGCTGTTCAGATGTCTTTCTGAGAATCAAAATTTCATATACAGCTGCCATCCCAGAACAAAACTTATCAAATCTGTACAGTCAAGCTCTGGTCCAAAAGAAATCAATAGCAATGCCCATCTAAAAAACATGAGAGGATGGGGTCCCTGGGTGGCTCAGTCAGAAAAACCTCTGACTCTTGATTTGGGCTCAGGTCATGATCTCACGGCTTGTGAGATGGAGCCCCACGTTGGACTCTGCACTGACAGCATAGAGCCTGCTGGGAATTTTCTCCCTCTCTCTCTGCCTCCCCCCAACTCCCACTTTCTCATTCTCAAAATAAATAAATAAACATTCATAAACATAATAAAAATAAACATGAGAGGATCTCAACAAGGCCAGGAATGGAAGTAGGTGGATGCACATTTGCCAAAGTCTGAGAGCCCTAATTTTTCCCTCTTTACCACCTTAATTTTTCCATGTTCTAGAACTGTCCATGTTTTTATAGCCTCTTATTTAAGAGTCTATCCCCTCTTCTCCACTCCCAATCCTTTTGGCCTTCGATCATTTATCATCTTCTCTACTATGGTGTATTTCTAACTAATCTCCCTGTCCAGGTTTGAAAATCTTCCAGAACATACTCTATAGTACTGCCAAAGTGACCTTCAAAAGCATCCCCTACTTAAACGCTCCAAACGAAATCCAAAGTTCATGAATACTTATTAGGATCTATTCTCAGCTTACATTTCTAACCTAATTTCAGGAATTACTTGCAGTTCCCCCATTTCATCATTCTATTTCCAGTGTCCATGCCTTTGCTTAAAAGGTCCTTCTCTGTTTTCTGCCTGGCCAACCTTTACTTCCTTTAAGAATCCACCTAAGCATCAGTTCCTCCAACCTCAGGCATTTCCCCACTCAATCAAATGATTTCTCTTCTGAACCCCATAGTATCTTGTACATACCTCCATTGTAGAGCATACCATATGTTGTAATTATCTGTGTACATGTCGAACTCTCTCACTAGACTGAGAACTCCTGAGGGCAGGAACTGTGTCTAATTCGTCTTCATATCCCCATCACCCAGCACAGTGCCTGGCAGCTCAAAAGGCAGCAGAGGAGAAACTGAAGATGCAGGAGACAGAATAAAGCAATATTCTTGAGTTGGGGTACAATACAAATATGCTGATTAAGTTGAAGCTGCGGAAAAATATTTTTTAGCTCAATACTGCAGAGGTCTTGAAAGAGACAAACTGACTTAGGAAGGACTTCCCCATAACTGTCATTGATTATAGTTACCTACAGGCTAAAAGGCCATTTGTTGGGTATATTTTATTTATTTATTAATTTGTTTATTTTTTTAAGAAGAGTTTATTTTTAATTTATCTTATTTTAGAGAGAGAGAAAGAGAGAGAGAGTATGTGAGTGGGGCAGAGGGAGTGAGAGAATCTTTTTTCAAAATATTTATTTTTGAGGGGGGGTGCACAAGCAGGAGAGGGGCAGGGGGGGCAGATAATCCAAAGTGGGATCCGTGTTGAAAGCACAGAGCCCAACGTGGGGCCAGAACCCACGAACTGTGAGATCATAACCTGAGCTAAAGTCAGATGCTTAACGGACTGAGCCACCCGGGCATCCCTTATTGGGTATATTGTAAAAGAACTCAAATTAGGATCAAATTGAAATAAGCTGGTTTGGATAGGAGACTTTTAAGGTCCTTCCATTCTTGAGGTGCTAAATCTGCAACCCATGCTATATTCAAGAGAGCCATCACTCTTGAGCCTATGTCACAGACCCATGAGTGACAGACTAGTTAGCTCCCAGAATCATGGGCAAGGGCTGGGGCTTCATTCCCAACCATACTAGAATGACTGCAAATGGACAACATAAACCATTCTCTCCTGCCCTGCTTCCCAGGTGTCCCTTGAACCTGGAGCAGGAAATACTTAATGCTTTCAGGGCTACCAAGAAGGACCCCATGACCCAAAATATCTTCCATAGCCTGCTCCCTAAAGCCTCAAATTTTCTCCTTAAACCTTTAGTGCCTTTGAACAATGTTTATTAAAACGCCACTTAATCTAATGTGGTGGGTTGGCATTAATCAAGCGTACACTAAAGGATGGATAAAAGCAACATAACCCTTCTGTACCCCCAGGAAATCAACTAGCCTGACCTTCCCTTCCCCCAACACAAATCAAAGAATACCTACAAAATACCCTGATTTTTACTTCTGGTACTCAGTTTCCTCAACTGCAAAATATGGTAGTTATATTGAACGTTCTCCTAGATTCCTCTTGCTCCACAGAAACTCAAGGAGTTTCTAAACCTGGGGCACCTGGGTAGTTCTGTCAGTTAAGCATCCAACTCTTGATTTCAGCTGACAGTGTGGAGCTGCCTTGGGATTCTCTCTCCCTCTCTCTCTCTGCCCCTACCCCGCTCTTGCTCTCTCTTTCAAAATAAAAGAAGTAAACTTTAAAAAAAAAAGAGTTTCTAAACCTATGTTTTTCCACTTATAAAACAGACGTGGCATCTGTTCTTCCGATTTTACCAAAGGGTCAAATAAAACCATGCTTGTGAAAGGTTTCTAAATGATAAAGCACTATACAAACTTAAGGAATCACTACTATAAATTAAGATACACTAGAAGAGAGAGGTAAAAGAAGTATACTCTGCCATTAATTAGATTAGTTGCCTTAAATTTATTCTACCTCTCTGGGATGCTCAAAAAGTTGTAGTAATTATTGAATGGGAACATGTGAAGTAGGCACACAATAATAGTTGCATTTGTCCTTACTGAGATAGTCAGAATCTCAGAAATAAATGTGACTTTTAAGTGCATGTAATCCAGTATCTCATTACATGCAGGGAAATTCTCAAATTCTATTCCAAGTGGTCATAGAAACCACTAGGTTATCACTTCCAAGAATGTTTTCATCTTTGGACAGTTCTTAAATTTGTTTATTCATTGAAGGCATTAATTAGAACTGCCTTGAAAAGCAGCAAAAATCAACCACTCCCGACTCCATAAAAGATCTGGAAACAGATCATCAAACTCCTTATTCCGGAGGAATTGTCTCCCACCATCTAAACAGCTCTAATTCCTATGATGCTTCTCATAGGATCTAAGTTCAAATCCCTCTCAGAATCCTGGATGTTCTCTAGCTTCCCTCTCAGAGAGATGCTCTTAAAATGGAAACAGAACCAACCATCAAGTGGGAACAGGACTCTAACCGTTCTGATTCTACACTTTTGTAGTGATAACACAAATAGTTAGCCTTATATTGGAGGCCATGGAGGTCTTCAATGGGTGCATATCCTGTAAACAATGAGCACTGAGTTCCCAGAAGCAGGATGGAGGAAGCACTTCTAAATGGGAAAGGAGAGGGTCAAAGGGATGCTGATGGCACTAAAAAACAAAGGGCTTACTACACAGTTTTCCTAATATTAGAAACCACCTCTGTACAAAACAAGGATATGGAACATTATAAATAATGCAGACTTCTAGGGCCATGCGGAAGAAATAGTACCGTTATATTGAAAAAAAAATGTTTTGTATGACCTTTTATACTGAAGAATCTAGTCTATGTAGATGACATCTTCTCTACTTTGCCCAACAGAATCTCAGTTCCTAAGACATCTGCCTATTTCTTTCAGAAACCAGGAAAAAATATTGAAGGTAATAAGTGGAACAGACATACACAATACTTAAGATCTGAATAAAAGGAGAAACATACCACATTCATGTAGGAGAAGATTATAAAGATGATCGCTCTCCAAAAATTAATCTACGTGTTTAATGCCATTCCAACTGCAATTCCAATGGTATTCATGGTGAGAACTCAACAAGTTGTTTCTAAGGTCGCCTGGAAGAATAAGCACATGAAAATAAAGATTTTTATTTTATTTTATTATTTTTTTTTTTTAATTTTTTTTTTTT